TACTAAAAAGTAACGAGGAAGAGGCTGCAAGACATCTCACGGAGCATAACACACACACACACACACCTAATCCACCTCTACACTGGCATTTCCCAGGGGAAGATAGTTTAAGACATATTCCTCAGCGGTGAGGAAACAAAGTTTTCTCTAGAGCTGGATAAGGGGCTGAGAAATACTATGCAGAGTGCAAACCACTGTAAATATTTTCGAGTAAAGGGCTGCAACACATCTCTCCCAGCATAACACCTCCCACACTGGCACCTCTTGTGGAAGAAAGTCACATACATATTTTCCAGGGGTGGGTAGTCCATCTAACAATGGATGAAATATTATTGTGAGGAAAAGGCAGAACTCTACATAATCTCTTTTATAAGGACTCACAACAGCCACTTATTTATTTCTCCTTCATGAAAATTTGCTTTCAATAAAATGTGCTCACTTTTAAACACTTGCATATTTTATCTGGTCATTTTATCTACTTTGCTTAGTCCATAAGTATGGTCTCACAATGTGTTTTTGTAAAGGCCTTCTAGCCATGTGCTGTTACTTTTGCATTTTCCAGTGGGGATTTAGAGCTTTCAGAAAAGTGCTTCCAAGATTTAATTATGAAAGATCCAAACCATCCTGGTGCTTTGGTCAACTTTGCTGCCCTTATGCTGTGTAAATGTGGTTCAGTTGTTGCAGGTATGAACCATATGATGGCTCTTTTGTGTTTAGGTTTTAACTTTATAAGAGGTTACAAAAGACATATTGCAGGTGCTGGAGCAAACGGAAATTGTGTGGCGGTCTCTGACCAGATTGCCGCAGCCACTGTTGCCAAGGAGTGTTTGCTAGCAGCTACCAATGCTGATCCCAAAGCGGCTCATCTATGGACAAATCTTGCTAATGCATATTATTTGGCTGGTGATCACCGAAGTTCAGACAGATGTTTTGAAAAGGTATATCAACACTGGCCCCTTAAATGCAACTTTCGACGTTGAGCCGGGGGTCTCTTTGGAAACAGCCTCTCTACTTTCGAGTAGGGGCAAGGTCTGCGTACACACACCCTCCCCAGACCCTACTCTTGTGGGATTTAACTGGGTTGTTGTTGTTGTTGTTTACTCTTAAGTCTTATATGTGCAGAAAATACTCCAAAATTCCATAGAAAGAAATCAAATAAATAAGCTTTTAAGTACTTGATTCTCATTTCATTACTAGATTAGTTCCCAAATTTTGTGTTTCCTGACCCATGATTGTCTCCCTGGGAACAATCTGGGGTTGTTTTGTTTTATTGGTCTTCAGGCAGGAAAACTGGAACCAAATTGTTTAGCTACAAGATTTGCCATTGGAGTTCATCGAATCAGGGATGCTGAGAGGTCTCAAAATCCCAGTGAACAATTATCTTGGGCCGGAAATGAAATGGCTTCAATACTTAGAGAAAGTGATTCTAGCCTGATAGAGTCTCCAGTTGCATGGGCTGGTCTTGCAATGGCTCACAAAGCCCAGCATGAAATTGCAGCTGGATTTGACATTGATCATAATGAATTGTCAGAAGTAAAAGAACGTGCTATTTTTAGTTTAAAACAGGTAAACTTGCAATTTTATTATTTTGTTTAAGCTTTGTTTTGTTAGCAAGAAAAATAGTATAGAAAGAAAGAGAGAATAGTGTGAGGAGAAAGAAAAAAGGTGAGAAAAGGGTGAGTATTATGTACCCATTTGTAGGATAAAAAGAAGGGAATTGTGTGAATTAAATAAAGAAAACCTTAACCTTATAAGTTTTAAGTGATAAAGAATAAGGGAAAGGGTACAATTGGGGAATGAAAAAATTTTAAGTATTGCTCTTGTTTTCTTTGAACTTATACTTGTGCGAAGCAAGAATATATAAGTGGGGCCCATGTGTCTTGGGAGGAATTGTAGGGATTCAAAAGTTGAATTGCAGCAATCTACCAATCTCAGTTACATGTGGCTTTTGCATCATTACGTGGATAACGGTTTCCTTCAAAATTTTGAGTTTAGGTTGTATTTGGATGGGGGAAATATTTTTCTAGGAGACTATTTCCCAATGAGAAATGATTTTCCTAGAAAATTATTTTCCGTGGTTTGGTAGAACGGAAAATGTTTTCTTAAAAAAATTAGTTTCTATGGTTAAAATCTGAAAATTAAATATTGAAAAAGATGCTTTGAGATAATTTAATACTCCGTAATATTTTAGTAGCATTGGGGTGACAAAGGGTGGGGGCGGGGTTCATGGGCGGTTGGCGAGTGATGAGTGGCGATGGGTGGGGATAGGGGTCTAGGGTGGGTGCGGACGGGGGGGGGGTGGCTGTGTATGTGTGGTCGAAGTAGGGGGTGGCAGGGGTAGGTGGCAGGGTTGGGGGCGATATTGGATGGGATGGAGTTGAAGGGAAAGGGGTTATTTTCTTTTGAAAGCAAATGAAAATTATTTTCCTCAATTGGGAGAAAATATTTTCTTTGAAAAATATCCATTAATGTTACCAAACATTGGAAAATAGAATCAGAATTTTCCTGGAAAATATTTGACTCGCAACCATACACACCCTTAATATTATATTTCAATTTAGTTGTCCAATTTTTCTTTTTGGACGTATAGAATTCGTTGTCCATTTACCATATCTAGTAAGCACATTATTGTGAATCAGCAAAACACTCTTAAGAGCACGATTGTTTGGTTATTTTAACTTCATCCTTACATAGAGGAATTTTGGAAAGCCGCAACTAAAACCAGACGAAACCGAAAATTATACTACTAGTATTATTTTTCTTTTCTTCCATGCTTTGTTTTCACGCGTTCATATCTCTCTTCCATTCTACGTATTTTTGATTTCATGTGAAAAGGCAGCTGCAGAAGATCCTGAAGATGCCATTCATTGGCACCAACTTGGCCTTCATTTTCTCTGCACCCAACAGTTTAAAATTTCACAGAAGTACCTCAAGGCTGCAGTTGCATCTCTCAAGAGCTCCTACGCCTGGTCAAACCTCGGTAACCATCTCTCTATCTCTCCAAAATGTGCATCAAAATACATAAGAGAACAAAACTCGGTGTACACGGATCTGTTGCTTTGTTGTGTGCTTTATATGCTCTATGTGTTTGCTGCTTTTATGTACCTTCTGTGCTCTTATATTGTCTGTGCTACTTGAGCTAGGGGTCCCTAACTTCGAGTAACGGCAAGGTATGCATACACATATCCTCCCCAGACCCTACTCTTGTGGGACCCTATTGGGTTGTCATTTCCTACTGCTTTTCCAATTTTGTCATCCGTCATTTTGAATTGATTCTATGGTTTTCATCTTTTATGTCATTTAACCCAAGTACTCAACTTCGGTTGCTTAAACCAAACACCACTAATCTTCACGTCGTACATAAACTGACACCATCATGTATAATAAAACCCAGGTATATCCCTGCATCTATCAGCTGAGCCTTCATGGGCAGAAGAGGCATATAAACAGGCTTTGGCATTGGCGACTCCTCAACAAGCGCACGCGATATTTTCCAACCTCGGCATCCTCTATCGCCAACTCAGGGATTTTGAATCTGCCAAGGCAATGATCACAAAGTCTCTTGAACTGCGACCTGGTTACGCACCCGCATACAACAACTTAGGTCTCATCTTTGTGGGCGAGGGCAAGTGGGAGGACGCAAAGTTCTGCTTTGAACGGGCAATCCGGAACGACCCGCTGCTCGATTCGGCTAAGTCCAACATGATCAAAGCCATGAACATGCATAGGATGTACACCAGCATGTCCTCGTATCTGTGATTATATTAGTACATGAGTTGCACATTGTACCATTTGTACATAATAATAATAGTAGTAATAATAATAATATTAATAATAATAGTAATAATAATAATTATTGTTTAGTGGAATGTAATTGTGAAAGTGAGAAGGCTAACCAAAAAACGACATTCATCTTACAACAACAAACTCTATAAAATTCACAAAACGATAGTGTCTTTGGTGAGTATGAGCAAATCTTACCTCTAACGGGAAATAGAGATTATTTCCAACAGACCCCGAAGGAAATATTTTCTTAAAAAGAATATAAATGGTCTGTAGAGTGCTTCTATGGTGCATGACCCGCAAGAAATTGTAGACTTTCTCATATAAAAGATTGTTTAATAAATAAATGCATAAAATGCTCATCTCTATCATAATAAGCATTTGCTTATCAAGTCCATCTGTAAGTGTACCCTAAATCTAAGGTTCACAATTGAATTTGTGTCACAGTTTGAAACATTTTTGATGTAGTTTCCCAATCTAGTGTTAAAGCCCTCGCAGTGAGATTGAGTCTGTGTTTGGCAAGCCATTTCAATGTACTTATTTGACTAGTTTTATTTGACATCAATTATAGGTGCCTTATTTACAATTGGACTGTTTGGTATTGCAATTGCATTTTTATAAATTTTTTCCAATTTTGTCATCAGTCATTTTAAATTAATTTTATGGTTTTTATCTTTTATGTCATTTTACCCCTGTTGCTTTAACCAAACACCACTAATCTATGATCATTTACATTTTTTCAGTGCTATTGCCTTGATTACAAAAAATCTCCGAGTGGTCTGTGCTAAATTATGATGTCATGTACCACAACATTTATCAGTTTTTATACTTCAGAAAATTTTCAATCACCTTCTCACTAGTTATGCCAAAATGCTGTGTGTGAGACTAACTCAACATGTAATATTCAAGTTGGTGTTTAGAGAAGCTATAAACAACCAATTGGAGAAACAATAAACTCGATTTCCAGACATACAAATTGCGATTGAAAAAGCAATGAACCATATAGGCTTCGCAATCACAATGCCAAACAGGTCTGTTCTCCTTGACAATTTGATAACATGAGTAATATCCTAATATGCAAACCAAACATCTAAGAAAGCATTTGGCTCACGAAATACGGAACATCATATTAATTTGGATAGTAAGGAATATACAAGGCTACCTAAAATTGTTCATTTCTCGAGATGGGATAAGCTTCGGAATTGGAATAATCTCAAATATTAACAAAACCAAAGCAATACGGCAATGTAATCACATTAGCTAAACCAAAGTTATGATGCATCACTTAAAAAATCTCATATTACTTGGATAAAAATGTCATATCCCTCTAATCTTACATTCCCTTGGGGACAATAATCTGAAATCCGGAGTTAACTGAAAACGGGCATAATATGACTCTTTTCCCAACTCGATCTACGATCCTTTTTGTTAGAGTAAGAGGCCGCATCACTTTCAAGCTGCAAGTTATACAAATCTGAATGATTTTTTTGTTTGTGCTTTTGAGAAACCAAGGCAAAAAGTTACTGAAAGTAGAAGGTTATCAGGATAATCGAGAAACACTGTAATATAAAGGAAGACTCTATTATTTATTTTTAATTGATGTGAATAGGTCTCACACACAGAAATGTGGTGAGACGATGTTCCTGTGGTGAATTAACCTATGATGATTCTGTGTTAAATTACTACCCGTAGTTAGTTTTAGAGCCCGTTTGGTAGCCTGACTCAATTTCTACTATGTATAATAAGAAGAATGATTAGAATAGGCAAAACCATTGGCATTTGACTGGAATGGATGTTACTATACCATTTTCCTTTCCGAAAATTCAGCAAGCCAAACACGCCTTACCAAACGGGCTCTAATGCTGGAAAGATTGCAATACCTTCAATATAAAAATAGCCACAGGGGGGTCTCAAGCTACAGTATTGTCATTCCCCTGGCATAAGACTACCTGCTACACAAAGAAGTCAAAAAATTATTGATATACCTACTCCGAAAAATAGACCTTCATTATAGTGTTAATAGTCTTACCCGATCATTCGCAACATCTTCTTGCCACTCCTTTTGAAATTTTTGGAGCAGAAGTGTTAATAATCTCTGCAATTCAGGCAGGACCCCGGCTGGAAACAACATCTGAATCTCATCCTTCTTGATACCTTCGAATACACATCTTCGAATCAAAATACGCAGGCACACCAAAAGCTGCAGCACCACAAACATCTACCGAGTCATGGAAGAAGTGGAGAATAAACACACTACACTAGTTAAATAGAAAAAAAACCTATATAACATATAAAAAAAACTTTAGCAGTTAAAAGCTTCACTATTTCAGACAGCTACAACATGCACAATTTCGGGGGGCAAGAGGCCAAATTCAAACGTTGGATAGAGCCGATTAGCCAGACATGCATTACATCTCATATGACTTTATTTGTGGGCAACATGAACCAAATCTTCTCTTTTCCTCCACTTTTGGGTTTTGAATAGTGTTCTACAGACTTCATATTTTCCACCCCCTTTATTTGATATGGAATGATTTCTCACAAATAAGGACTTGAATCATTTTGAAAGAAAAAATAAATAGATGCCATTGATTGCATAAGGTGTCTGTTACTTGGGTGCAACATCAAGAAAAATGTTAAAAGAGGATCACAAATCATAAGCTGAGCTGGAGAATCTCTACCTATGGCATTAATCAGATGAAAAATGCTAGGGCTACACCAAATGTGTACCCCAAATGTACACCAAGTGCTCCCATTCCACATACTTTTCAATATAAAAAATAAAAGAAAATCAGATAGTTAGAGTTATGGTTGTTGCTAGAGATATTGAATGCTATTGATTTTTTTATTTTTTTTATAGCTTACTTCACATTCTTCTGCAATCTTACCTAGTTTCTTAGCCTTATACCTTGAATCTTTAGCCAAAAAACCTATAAAATGCTTATCAAACCTATAATTAGTATTCGCTCCGTCCCAAAATGACTTTACACCATATTTTTCCATCCGTCTCAAAATAAACTTCGAAAACAACTTAAACTTCGAAAACAACTTAAGTGTAAGAATTCATTGCATTTGATCATTTTCTCTATGAAAATAATATCTTTTCGCAAAATCAACCCCAAAATAATTAAGCAAATAAATAGAAACAGAACGGAAATGGTAGAGATGCGTGCAGATAGTAGAAGACAAGAGAAGGGATGGACAGACAGGGTCGAGATCGGAATCTCCGCCGGGGAGGTTGAGCATTTCCTGGAAAATCCGGCGGTCGGCGGCGTCGAGTCCGGTCTTGCGAGTCCTCCATAGGGCTTGGAATATGTATTCCACCGACTCTTTGGAGTTGGCTCTCACCAGAAGCGGCAAATGCTCCCACACACTGCCACTATTCATCGCGGCGGCCCTTTTGCCCCAGTCCCAATTGTACTCTTGTTCTAAATGTGCGCCACCACCTTTTTTGTGAGGTGGACCAACACAATACCTCCTTCCGAATTACTCCGTACGGAAATAGGCAAATGTTCTTCCCATTTTATTTTCAAGGTCTCCAATATTGTATTTTGACCATTAATATTTATATTTATACATAAATATTTTTTATAAAAAATTGATATTTAAAAACAACGTTTCATTATGAATATATTGATATTAAATGTACATCATAATATAATGCGTTTTTTTCTATAAATCGTAGTCAAAGTTTATAAACTTTGACCAAGAAAAGTCAAATGTGAAGAACATTTTCGGACGGAAGGAGTAGAACAAAATCTAATATGGTTTAGTGCCATATGGTTTTCAAAAAAAGAGTTTTCGTCTATGAATTTGGGGCTAGTGTTATATGGTTTTCAAAAAGGCATTAAAACTTCCTTTATTTTCAAAAGTATTTTGTAAACTATCTATGGTTTTTAAATTAAAAATCACCTTAAATAGAACTAAAACATAGAGAAAAGTACCAAAATAGGACTTTCATGTTTTTTTCCCGAAATAGGACTTTACACTGTGGTAATGTGACTTTGCACTGTGGTAATGTTGCAGTGTAAATGTGCACATTACTATACTTTTTTGGTAATGTATATGACCATGTTTGGTAATGCGTCGATTGTGAAAGAAGATGCCTCATCGAGATTTGTAGCAGTGACAACAATGAAGATGACAACGAAGATGAAGATGAAGATGACGATGAAGATGACTATGCTATTGAGAGTAGTGTAAGTTTAATTAGACTATTGGATTATATTTTCCAAATCTGAAGAGAATGAACAAAATATTACTTGAGAATTAGCATTACATTGTTTGAGAATGAGCACAAGTTTGTTTCAGAAAGAACACTACGTTATTAGTAAATGAATATTATAATTGTATTCGACAAATGTGTGAAAATGAGTACTATGTTATTTCAAAATGAGTATCATGTTATTTCAGAATTAATATTACGTTATTTCAAAATGAACACTTATATTTGTGCGACAATGAGTACTACTTTACTTCAAAATGAGTAGGGGTGGGCAAAAAAACCGAACTAGCATGGTACCATGTCGGACCGTAATGGTACCGAACTGTTTATAGTGTTTTCAAACGGGATTGCTTTTTTTCATCACGAACCGGAACCGAACCGATACCAAATGGAATGGGACCGTGATATAAATATTTAAAACCGATTATCAAGGACCGAACCATCCAACGCTATATACGAAGTACGTATCTCAAACAATTATGGAGTATTTGTCTACTTCATCTTACCGTGTATAGATTACTTCGTATTTTATTATTCATTATTAAACTCTCTCATTATTATTGTTGTTATTATATTTATCATTACTATTGGCATTATATTTTTATAGTTATTTGTATTCCGATATTATATGAAATGGGAAGAAATTAGTTTTTAACTATAGACTCGTTATCTTTTATTCTTTATTTTTATGATCCGTTTAAATTTGAAATCAATACTTTTATTTAACATTCTTGTGCTTTTCTATACAAATTTATACATTAAATTAAATATTCTTTAAGTAATGTACGTTCATTTTTTTTTTGCACAGTTTGAACATGGCTATGGTATTGTACCGTTCTATTTCAAAACGGAATAGTACCGAATGGTTTTGGAGTTCATCCCGTACCGATACCAAACCATTTAAATAATAGCGGTCCGTGATAGGTTCTGGTAGTATCACGGACCATCACGGACCGCGCCCACCCCTAAAAATGAGTACTACCCGGTTGTATCTGACTTCAGGTACAGTTGGTTGTACCATATACGAATTTGATATTCAAATCTCTCCTATTATGTTTATTTCATACCCCTGAGTATTTTAAAATTTATTGTTAGTTGATGTGCCCACGCCTTGGAGAGAGGGTGAATAAGGTGTTTAAAAACTTTTCGGAGTTTAATAAAATTAGTTTTGGCAAACGCGGAAGCAATAAATAAAACACAGAATTAAAAGCGTAAAACAAAGACACACCAATTTTATACTGGTTCGGAAACTTCCTACTCCAGTACTTTAAGGCTGCTCCTTATGGATTTCCGAATCTACTAAGTCTCGGTCTCTTGAAATCCTTCAAAGCACTGCACTAGTTTGGCAAATAACCCTTGCCAATACGGCTCAACTCTGAGATTTCACAGCGGCTATCTCAAACCGCTTACAATGAAGATTTAAAAGCTATCTTGTACGTTTTCCCCAAGGATTTGAAAGGTTATCCTTGAACCTTTTGCCCAAGGATTTCTCGGGCATCCTTAACCGTCTATATAAGGATTTATACGGCTATCCTCAACCGTTACAATGAGTGAAGTATGTATCTAAATATACAGGAAAGTATTCAATATCTTTTGGCCTATGATAAAGAAAAGGATCAGTCCTTGAGCGGTGAAGAACGAAGATTTAGCCAAATGTTTAAAAACCGAATCAGGAGAAATAGGTTCTTGAAATAGCTAAATTACAAGAATGAAGAACAAGAATAAGAACACACTTGAAATATGAAATATGATATTTGGAGCTTGGATTCTTGTTGAAATATGAAGGATTAAGCCCATATTTATAGTGAAAAGGGAATAATGTCCTTTTATGGCCGTTGAGGATTAAATAAGAGTATTAATGCATGATTAGATTTGTTTAAATTCAAAATCAGGATTTCCAATGGTAACAGTAGCAAGGTACGGGACAGACGGTATCCAGATACCGGATCTACGACAGTTGGGTACCGGACTGGAAGTCTTCGGAAACTGGCACAAACCATTTTACTCTAGTGGAATCTGCACCCGGCGGTAGCTAGGTATCGGTTTGGCGGTACAGCCTACCGTTAGAACCACACGGGTACTGGAATAGCTATCGGACCACTGATTCGGTTTTTAAAAATTTGGCTAAATCTTTGTTATTGAGAATTGATTCTTAATGGATTATTGTTATACCTGAAACGCTGAAACAAACATTAACTCATATATTATTTGTTTACATCAAAATACGAAATTTAGCAAACCAAGGCTAACACCTATATCATATCAATTGTCCAAAACACATCAACGAACCCTTAAATCCAAATTAGTCCATAGCCATTTATGGTATATGTCCCAAAGAAAATGTCACACTTATTCAAATGTCTAAATGAAATTTGCCTTTCCACTTAAGGAATATGTGGCTTAAAAATTTCTCTCTTTTAAAAAATCTTTCACTCACATTTTTTATTTTTACTCTCCATCCCTGAGTATTTATGCACTTCTGATTTTTTCAGTCAAAATGGGTAAACTTTGACCTTAAATTAAATAAAAATGATAATAGATTTTGTTACAAAAATAATTTTGTTAGATTTATTATATCAAATATTTTTAAAATATTATTTTATCTAATTAATATACAATCTATATTTTATTAAATTAAATGTCAAACATTGAAAAAAATTGACCGAAAAAAGTCAAAATTAGACAAATACTCAGAAACCATGTGATAAATGAGAATGATGTATTTTTGGTCCATCACGATGCAGATGTGAATTTTTGCAGTGGCAGAGAAATTCATCTCATTTTTCTAAAATTTCTTTGCACTTTACATGATATAGAATTTAAAATGGGGTAGGGATACTGGATTGGGTCATAAGACAGACTCAACCATATTAAAAGGTTCAATCTAATGGATTATTTAGTTTAACTCTAGACCTTATATACCAATTTATTTTTTTTACAAGTTCCGAATGTGGGACACTTTTTAACATTCCCCCTCAGGTGGACAACCAAGCTATTTTGAATCTAATCGGTTGACCACTTGTAAATAGACTCTCACCCCCTTGATTTTTTGAGCTCCAACACTGAAAGGACCACGAGCCTCTAGGTATGGACTTCAAGATGAGCAATCGAGTTAAACAGGCCACATGTCATTGGATACACATTCCACACGGACAACTGAGCTAAAGATTAAGGCCGCTAGGAATGAACGTCTAGACGAATACCTTAACAAACGAGATGAATTAAAACTGGGTCTGATACCATGATAAAATTTAGAATGAGGTAGGGAACACTGGACTAGGTCATAAAGCACTTGGGTTGAACCACATTAAAAAATTAAATTTAAACGAGTGCTTAGTTCAACTCAAAAGCTTATATACTAATTTATTTTTATCTACAAGTTTCGATGTGGGGCACTCTTTAACAGTATCTGGCTCTAGCAGTGTGTTGGAAAAAATTACCGAACACAATACGACAACAACCCAGGTTGAATCTCAAAAGAGTAGGGTCTGGAAAGGGTGTGTGTATGCAAGCATTTTTCCTGCTTGAAAGTAGAGAGACTGTTTCCAAAGAGAACCTCGGCTCAGCGTAGAAAGTTTCAATGATTGACAAACTGCTATTTCATTTGTTAAAGAAGCACAAACAATTTAGAGATCTATTTTGCTTTATTCCATCACAACCCGAAGCCAAAAAATAGTAAACTTTTGGTGGGATGAAAAAATAAAATCTACATACTTAAAAACTGCAAAATCTCTTTGGAACAAAAGATAATATAACTACATTAGTTTATCAATTAGATAGTAAAACTAAATAAAATTTTAACTATATACGGAGTAAATAATAAACATTCAATTTAATTTGGGATAAAGATAGTACTTACATTATAATAGAATTATTAGTTTTCTTGTTTAAAAAAAGTAGAGTGCAAGTGCTGTACCCAAAAAAGTAAAAAAAAAAACACAAAAATAATGCACCAGTTGATCAGTAAAAAAATCATGTCTCAATACCCAAAGAAGTGCTCATAAAACTTTGTGAATTTTATAAATCTAAGATCTATCCAAGGGAATGTAATGCATTGCAAGACACTTTGCACATTTATCTATTTCTTTTTACAAAAAAAGTGTCTTTCTAAATAAATTGCCAAATGTGCAAAGACTCTTTAAATTTATCACCACTTCATGCAATAACCAGTGTTATTTTTATTTTTTTAAATATAAAAAAAGCTTCGGAGTATTTGATTGTGTAAGTAATCTACGTATGCCTGACTGTGCCCGTTATACACTTAAAGCAGTAACAATTACCATAGTACTTAGGCTGCGTTCTGTTTGCCTCATCCGATTTAATTTTTTGAAGATCTGATCTGGCATGTTTTGGTCTGTGGTCTGATCTGATCGCAGTTTAACTGATCTAGTCTGATCTGATTATAATAACAATAAGTAATAACCAGGAAAAATAAATTGAACGGAACGCCGCCTCAGTCTACGATTGAGCCGATTGACCATATATATAATGTTATCTTACATTAGACTAAAGGAATCCGTGATCCAAACCCAAAACTGAACTTAATGTGAAATTAAATCCAAAGAAATATGATGTCAGATAATTGAAGGAAAAACACACATCTTTGGTACGCGTCCTAGTAGACTTCATACTCGGTGGGTTTGTTCATGGTACATTTTTGTTATTAAGCAACCTCAAGGTTGTGTTGCTTCCAACAGCTTCCCATAAACTTGCCTAGCAGTCAAATCCTCTACCTGGTTCAGTGAATGAAGCTGTTTGTTAGCACGGTAACAAAAAAGAAAATAGGGATTACGCATTTTGGCCCGGTGCTCATTCACAAATTCCAAAAGACACCATGGCACAAGGGATTGGGTTTCACGAGGAATTGCAAATCCGGTAAGCAACGAGACAAAGGTATAATCAAGGGAAAGAAAAGCATTCTCCAATAGTTCTACACTTCTACCAGTGGGAAAAGTTAACACCTAACTTCACATGGGCCTCAAGAATGGAATGACAACCGAAGGGATCGAAAATCTATATATTTTATCTTCATGCTCATGTGTAATGTAAAATTCGTGTAAACATTATTCAGATGCTCAACTAATTCTACATGGCTTAGTGCATCAGGAATTTGGAACATATTTGTAACATACCACAAGAAGCTTAGATTTGCTATTCCAACCTCTTCGGAGAGTCATTTGGGATAGTTTAAGACCCAATACCTGTACCAAAACCGGCAGAGAAGGTTAGCTACATAACCCATTTCATATCTTTTACTAGCCTCGCTCCAAAAAAAGAGTCATGTTTAATCTATATGCAACTTTTAAAATTTTAAAATTTTTAGAGGGGCAAAACAATCAGAACAAATCAACTCTAGCTATGATTTCAATGCTGTTTGTTGGTTTAGCTAAATATAACACACGTAACTTGTTTGAGGCAGTTTTTTTTACTCCTCCGTCCCAAAATGGATTACATCTTTACTAATCCATCACAATAAGTTTTGTTTACTTATTTGTTTTCATTGATTATTTGACAAAATAAAAATTTCTTTTTTTAAAAGAAATATGTAATGTAAGTTTGATTTTTTATTTCTATACCAATTTAAAATGATTTCAAAAAACACAGGGTTTTGCCTCATAACTCCCTCCATGTAATTCATTTAGGGACGAAGAGAGTATTTGGGGAAATTTTCAGTCTTCAAAGAGTTCTTTTTCTGGTACAGAGGGAGTATATAATCCAGTAACAGCAACAAGTAATTATACCCTGCCCATAAATTCTAGAAGTTCATTGTTAGCTTCCCCACGAGCGGCAGGTGCCGTGACAGTGACCCTAACATCATCAGCATTTACTCCTGAAACAACACATGCATACAGATGAATTTCTTTCTAACAGATGTATTGATTAGCTTTGTTAGAAAATTTGGATAAAACAGCCAATGTCATAAAAGCACGCACACACACACACACACAAAACCACAATGGCCCCCTCCAAATCTTTAACCTTGTCATCCCAAAATGCCATATTGCTCCAAATTGATGTTCTAGGAGGAAAATAGCTTATAATTCTTCTAAAAACCCCCTCCACTTCTTCAAAAAGACAAGCATTGTTCAATTACATTATCTATTTGTCAGTCTGCATTTTGATCACTCATCTGTCTTTCCTCAAATCTGCAGGTACATCCTCCTCTCCACTAGACTTCACTAAGGTAATACTTCATAATTCAAATGTGCATATTTAAAATGTCAAACAAGACTTTACAACCCTCATTGTATCAAGAACTTGATTGACCCCATTTTTCTTTGTAAACTTGCACTGATATAGTGTTGCTTCAAGAATATTTTCACCATATTATCGGATATAAGAAGCCACAGCATCAATATTAAAGGGTGTAAATAAACACCAGCTCCTTCAGTGGTTGCTTGGTTAAAAGTTTACAGTTATTAAGGAGGATTGATCCTCTAATCGCTCATATCGTCAAATCCAATGAACTAAATACCACAGAGCAATAATAATCTAGTTTGGGATTTTTTCCCAACTTCGCCACATCTAACCGATAGCAACACGCATATTAAGGAATTACACCCTCCGTCTCACTATCTTTGGGACATGAGGAAGCAACACGCATATTAAGGAAATTTGGGATCGATATGTTAAGTGTTAAGTATGGATACAGTAAGGATGATTTTGAACCACAAAAATATTGCCTACAGGACATGCGAAATAGATAGTGGGACGAACGGAAATGGTAAAAAACTAAAAAAAAGACAGACACTGGGACAGAGGGAGTATAAACATTTAGGGTTGTGTACTAACAGGGAAAAAATTTTCAAGAAAATGGAAAGCGTGCTTACTTTTAATGTTTTCTAAATTCAGAAAGAAAAAAGGAAAAACAGAGAATATGTTTACTTTTTCTATTAATTTTTAGTTTTTTAACTTCAGAAATCTAAAAAATGAATTTTTAATGTTGTCCAAAATAGAAACAATTTTCCAATGATTACTAATTGCAACAATACTAAGAATAATACTCTCGAATACGAAGTACTAGATTTCAGGGTCAAAATGAAAGAAAAAAACAATTGTGTTTGTGCATGTAACACGAATCTTACGCAACTTAACAATTTTAAATGCAATAACATCAACGAGCAGTGAAAGAAACTAGACAAACGAACTGCAAAGACAAAAGCAAATGCATATATACTTGTAATTGCTGAACGTTGTGCACGGTCCTCCACTTCTATTGCCACTTGAACAAGACCCCCTTCTAACTGTGATATGCAGGGTGGCACTGGGGCATCCTACAGGTTCGACCAAACATCCTGAGTTATAGGCCTCAACATACTTCTTTATCATTAAGAGCAGCTAAAGAAGTGAAGCACAAATGCAGGCAAAATTCCGTCCTAAAAGTGGGATTGGCACCAAGAGGATTAAACATATGTGCAGAATGAAGTAACAATGAGCAACAGATACACACTAGGGGTGCTCCACAAAAAGAGGGAAAATGCACACACACACACACCATAGGAAATATAGCCATTGCTCTCTTACTTTCAAATCCAAATAATCAATGGGTTAAATATTTCATAAACCACAATGAACCAGGAGGCACGGTCAAGATATATTGATTTCCAAAAAAAAAATCCTAAAACATCCACATAAATTCCATGTGTGCATATTAAAATTAGCATTTCAACAATTAACAGTTACATGGTTATTTATTTTTAAAAAGAATGTCTGAATTTTTTAAAATAGTCTACCTTACCATCAAAGTACAATGTAAGATTGCATTTGTATTATCTCCTAAGTTTAAGGTGTTAGGCACTAAAACTACCAGAGAAATGATTTGACAAATGAAAACAAAACTATATGGCATTCTCAACTTCATGTGCTGTTATGATGATTTTACTTCTTATGCAAATAAACACAAATCAGTTGCAAAGGATATATGAAAATTGAAAACCACCCATAAATATTACCACATTATACCAAAGAAATGATACATTGTAGCGAAAATTTGTACTTGGTAATGATAAGCTTTAATCATTTATGTCCTTCAGCATTAAAATCAAACATGTAATTGTCAATAATAAACCTAAACATTTGAAGCATAATTAGTAGGTCTCATGGCTTTCAGTGGACAGATAATGGGACTATGGAATGTTTGAGATCACTTTTGCAAAAGCACTAAGCAGGTTTGAACTTGCTTTTGACTTATAAGTTATAATACTGAACTTAAAGTAGGAAATAAGCTAGCAGGTAGATACTTGTTTTGGCTTATGGGGCTTAAACTGCTTAAACTAAACAATAAACATAAATATAAGATTGTTTATCAAACACCAAAAATGTAAAAGCAACTTAAAATAAACTGCTTAAACTAAAGACTATCCATAAATATTAGATACTGTAAAGAATAAACAACTCATTACATGTGGATTTGTTTCAGCAGCAATAGTACTAAGTGCACCATCGACTACATAGATAAAGGAGGCTGACTCCATATCGGATTCTGCACGATAGCATACAAAGAGGCCACACCCCTTACAATTCATGCGGAACTGCTTCTCCAATTTCCCTTCACCACTGTAAAACAGAACCACCAACAAGTCTTAGCTAGGCAAAAAAATTGAACTAACAAATGAGCAAGGCAAAAAGATTCCTGAAGGTATCATATATCACATAATGTAAATGCACTACCACCTATCAGTAGCAAATAACCATCAAACATTTAACTAACATTCTTACATACTTTCCCTGTCCATTAAAAAGTTTAGAGTTTGACTTCACGAAGTTAAAGGAAAGTGTTGAAAAGTAAAAATTATATTGTTAAAACTTGTTTAGAAGAGAGAGAAATGTTATGACTTATGACCCACATACTCCTTCACTAAAAAGGTAATGGGATAAGTATATAGTTTATTTTGGGAGTGATAATAACAGAAAGTGCACACTTCATTGCGGGACAGAGGGAGAATTTCTCAACAGAAAGATAAAGGTATTAAATATGATAGCACCACATTAACATGTTGTCACTCCACATGGCCTCATGGGGTTGAGACACATGAAAAGACATAACTACATAAGTAAGAGGTAGCATGAGTTATTATAATAATCACAAAATTATCATATTTCCGTCCCTGGTATAAATCATTTCCCCTCTTTTTAGTAGAAAAAAATCTATAAAATCAAAATGTGGAATTTAAATTTAAAAGAGGGAGAAAAAAAATAAAAGGTACCTGGTAAGTAACAAAAAATCAGCATGAGAACCTGGTGCTCAAATGAAGAGCTACCTCTATTTTTTGAGATTGGGTTTTTAACAGGCCATATTATTCAAGTACGCATAAAATTATTGCTTGACTCTAAAAATAGAAGTTTCCAGACTTTCAAAAGTTGCTATGTTTCTAGATTTCCAAATGGTAAAAAAATGACCAAGGGTATAGAACTATACAGACTAGATCTTTTTTGATATTTTTTCATGCAAACTTTGTCATACCAATATTCATCTTGCATGGTGATTGATTTCTCACCCAAGACGACCAATTAATACAAAACGAAATATTAGTCCAAGATCATAGATGATCAACCAAACTACCACGAAGCAATAGATGACATACACCCTTGAAGAACCCTTATTTGGCCATTGTTTTGCAAAGAACTATGACGCATGTGTGTGTGTGTGATAAACATATAAAAAATTTGGTATCATATAAGTGCCTACCAGGCATATAAAATAAACAGCTGATTACCGCTTCAGGAGAACTTTTCCCGCCTCATCAACACTCAATCTTGCAAGATACTTCTTCTTGTCAAGCACATAAGCATCGTCAGTTTTCCTTTTGGGCATTTTCTGCAATTGGTTATCTACAAGCACTTTTTAACATGGAGAGACACAATAGCAATCTAACAAGAACTCCTTAGAGAAGAGATGAGTATCTAGTTAGATTATTACTATTCTCAATAATTTCAAACTGATAATTCACGGATATAGCATCATCATTAGATTTGTCATCGTTAATCTCAAGCTGAGCAGCAAAGGCACTCCCTTACAGGAGTTGCAGCCAACTTGTTACACGCCACTTGCAAAAAGGGAAAGACAAAATGCAATTTAGCATTTCTACATGTGCTTAACTTGCACAAATGCATTGATTGTTTGCATTGAGATCTAGATAGTATTTCAATCATACCACCAGCATATCAGGATCTTTAATCTTTCAACTCCAATATTTTATTAGGAAGTGAATGCATTGTGAACTTGGCAATTCATAGAAATTGTGTCATCAGTTATTCAGTTTCCACCAGTTCTGGTATTATATTCAAATTTTGTCTGCTTAATTGCTTAGAGCAATGTTCCTCTCTTTTGAAATGTTCCAAGGGGGTTTTGATGTAAGGTCACTGTACATGATTTTCATAGACCTGGGTGTTTCCGTGTTGATGGGGTCAAGTAGAGAGAGACAGACAGACAGAGAGAGAGTCTAGGATCAATAGAATATTATAGACTAGGGTCCTTGATACTATGCCAAATAACAAAACTACATTTCCATTGAAGTACTATTGATCTAACTTTCTAGTTTCTACTTACAACTACATAACTTCTACTAACTATTGCATACTTGCATGGATACATAATAGGCTTAAACTCAATTGGAATGGGAAACCCCTAGCGTTTCAATTTTCCTAAACCTAAAATCACCATATTCCGGTACTTCTTAATTATTTATATATTTCTACATTTCAACAAACACAGCATTGTATGTGCTTATATCTGGGGAAAGGGATAAGTATACCAAGAAGCTATAGAACGATGAAAAATAAATACTCAAGCAGAAAGCAAGTAATTGTTTTCATGGTATGATTTCAACTGTACACCAGTGAACTCTAGATGCCAACAGGCATGAAAAATACAACTCTACCGGGGTTAGTGCACACAGACAAGCTTCTCATTCACGGTAATTCGAAGTACGGAGTTAGCTCAAAATATTTTTTCCGATAAACCCTAACTCTAAGCACCTGTTCTTTTGGGTTGGAAAAGTTGACTTCCAACTTTTCAACTCTTTCCAGATTCTTCAAACTCCCTCCAGTTTCTTCCAACTCGTACTTTATTCCAACAAATTAAAAACAATATTTATATATGATGAATATAAAATAAAACTATATATCCAAATTTATAACATACCATCTCAAAGAAGAACAATGATGAATTCTTTTTTATCCAAAATTAGAGTTTTCTTACATATTTATTTAGGTGATTATTTAATTGAATGATTTTTAACATTTTAATATTTCCAACATTTTCCAACTCCTTCCAATTTCTTTCAACTCCTTTCAGTTTCTTTCAAAAGCCAACTTTAGAACTCCAACCAAAAAGAACATGCCCTAAGTGGTAACATATCCATCTGCATTGGCCGCAAAACTCCATCATACTTGCACACCCTAGCTCAAAATCCCTCACTATAAACAAAATTAAGGATACATATGCAAAAAAATAATACTCCCTCCGTCCCCCTAAGATGTTCTCATTTTGACTTTTGGTGGTTTTTAAGGAGAGTTGAAAAAAGGTGAAAGTTTACCATAATACCCTTAATGAAAATGGGTGAAGTATTGAATGAGGTAGGTGAGGTGTAATAAATAAAGTAAGTGGGGGTAGTTGTGGTATTTTAATTGTTAAAAAATGAAATGAGAAGATTTATTGTGGACAAAGAAAAAGGGCTATTGGGAAGATCTATGAGGGACGGAGGGAGTAATTCATTTTTATGAAAACAGATTCTCTACACAATTAAACACATACTACCACGAACCTTGTATTTGTATTCTTTAGAGGTGGTTTGGATGATTCTTTTTCTTCAATCTACATTGTGACAGTTTGAGACTATGCGAATAAATTCTCATTGCAAACAGTTGAGGATAATCAAGAAATCCTGGTAAAGACGGTTGGAGACATCCGTATTCAAATCTTTGAAAGCAGTTGAAGACGTCTGTTGTCAAATCTTCATTACTAGGTTGGAGATAGCCATTGGAAATCTCTAGGTTGAAGAGAGCCTCTCATCCAGTATTTCTTTCCTTTTTTTCTTTTTTTTTTTTGGCGGAGATGTACCTATACTTTGCTTATTCAGTGAAGACACTTTCTCCTTTATATCTCTGTTTCCCTTTGCTACTACACTTACAGTTGTTTGCAACAATAGCCTTTGAGCTTTTCTACATAAACAAGCCTCCTCATTATAGGCATCCTATTGCCCACCCACTAAGCTTTCGAAATCAAAACTACCAGTGGCTATCACTTCTCTGTCTTGTAATTATAGAACTTCTCCACAATCATTCTGGTGCAGGGAAGGAGAAATGTAAAGCTTGCGAGCCATGTTATTCCTCCTTCACAGAAACCATAATAGAATCCACTTAAGCACCCTACTGGAATGATTTCTCTCCGGAGGTTTTTTCTTGCCCGCTCATGTAAATTATATGCCTATAACTGTTTCTCAATTTCCTTTTTGCCTCATTCTGATGATATGAAAACTAACACTTGTATGGGCTAACTACCCGTGTCAATCCAAAACATACCTTACCTTTCAATAAACCAATAAAGAATCACCAAACCAGCAATGAACTTATTATTATTATATTGCATGTCTAATCGAAGGCTAATTAACTCCAAACATGCTAAACAACTAACAGATTAGGGAATCTAGGGACCATATTGAAGCATCTAAGAAAAGAATTTGATGAATGTAAGAAGTGAAGGCACAGTTAGAGTTCATATTGCAATGAGAATCGCAGAATCCAACTGGAAATCGGAGAAGATTTAACAAAAAAGGAAAGGGGGAAAAGAAAAAGAGAGGAGGGTCGGGCGCACCAGTGATGAGGACATGGCAACTGCAGTGCTTGCAGTAATAGACGAAGAGATCGGAGTCGGGTGCCTCTGGAGCGGCGTCTTCGCTGGAATATGTGTGGGTCGTCCTCTTCGGCATCTTCTCTCCTCCTCAACACCAATGTGTCGCCTCGGCTCTTATCGGATGGATGCTCCTCTAGTCAAGTTTGAGAGCTCCCACAAACGTTCTTTCAGCTTTTTTTTTCTTTTTTATATTAAGGAGTAGTTATGAGACTTATGACTCCCTGCCTTTTAAAAATTGAGACTTATTTGCAGTATGAGACTTAAAAATTTGCTTAAGGAGTAGTTATGAGACTTAAAAATTTGCTTGTGTTATGAAATTAATGATTGTTCATTTATTCAATTAATCAGGCCTAATTTCTAGAATAGTATATTAAGACACTCATTGATGAGTATCAATTTAGTACAGTCCTTCCCACTTGTATTTGTATTCAAACTAAGCCTCTCCACTATAAATAAAGGCTTAATCCCTGCATTGTAATCACAATTAAGAATAAGAGAAGAGTGAAGAGTTAATAGAGAGAAGAAATCAGAAATATATTATATCTATTATCTTAATCTCTGAGTAGTTTTTCTCTCATTTTATAACACGTTATCAGCACAAGTTTGCTCAAAATCCCAGAAACCTTGTTCTTCTCAGAAGGTATATTTATTTTATTTTCTTCATAAACAAACTAAAATATTTTCTTAAAAACTATGAGAAGTATGCTCTGTGATTGCCCAAAGTTGAGATCCTTCACATCAGAAACTTATAGTTATAAAAAATAAAATTAGATAAATTAAAATGGAATAAATTTCCTCATAATATCAGAAAATCATGTTTTTGATAAATTAAAACAAAGTAGAATTTAGTACAGAGTAGCTTTAAAATAAAATATTAAAAAAAAAATAAAAAAAAAAATTAGAATTCAATTATGAACATACCTTAAATTAAACTTTGCATAAATGGTAGACTCCCCTCCACGCATATAACTTTCTTAAAATTTATTACTTGAAACTTTCTAGTAGTGTTTTCTTCTTGTTGCATATAATTTTTTTTCTACGGAGTATATGCTTAAGAGAGAGAAAGAGGGGAATGATTTTAAGACTCCAATAAAAGGTTGAAGGAACATACTACGGAGTATTATTATTATTTTTCTTCTCCATCATATTTTTTCTTCACATGGCATCAGCACTAATTTGTCTCTAATTTGTCTTTTTCCTTTTGTTTTTGAACATTCTTGAGGGAGTGTCTTCTTTTCGTACTCACCACTAGTGGAGGAAGTATGTTTTTCTTTTAATTTTAAATGAAAGAGTAAAAATTATTACACATAATTGAAATTGTTTTATCTTTTTCTTTTTGGTATTGAATATGTGTGTGTGTATAATCATTTTGATTTTGTTTATATATATAATCATGACATTGTTCACAAAAAAAAAATTACGATTATTAAAAAAAAA